CACAAAATCTATCAAACTTTTACAGGGTACAAAGTAACAATAACACCTCAGTCCTCAGGAATGGCGTCATGTCTATAGGCAACGGTTACCACTTTCTATCAGGTTCTAATCGTCAGCTTGTTTGCCATTCTAAGTTACATTAAAAAAACGAAAATAAATTAAGTTGGTACACGGCTATGTTATACCTTCACATATAGGATACGTTATAAGGTAAACAAAGTCACGGGATACAATCACATAAAGTAAACGATACGCAGCGAATGGCTTGAGATATTGAGATAACAAAAATAGATATAACAAAGTAAGTACGACTTGCACAAACTCATTCAACTTTTAAATACCAAGTTGTTTGGAGCACGATATCAAAAGAAATTGTATCACGATATAGCCACCGGTTGGTAGCTAACTTTTCATTATTTCTTTTGCCTCATAATAACTGATGTCTTGTAAAAAATAGTACAATTCGCTTTTATGTAATTTTGTCACATTTTTATCGATTGCGTAAATCTAATAGGTCATGGATTCGTGTTTTCTAATATTTAGTCTTTTTTTATAAACGTTTTACAAATAGTGTAATTATATTTAGTTTAGAAAATAACATAAATTATATGACAAGTTAACTAAATTCCAAATGTTATTTAACACTAAAATACATTATTTATTAGGTTAATCTCTAAACTTTTTTCTATGCTAGTGCGCTTTTAGTAAGGGATATCGGTGAACTGATCTGACTATATGTCAGATCAGTTAGCTCATCGTGACGAATTCACATTGGTTTCCAGATGTGACTGCGTGAAAGTCGATATGACGGAGCTCGTGAAGCCCTTGAATATCATTACTAATAATCCGTTCCCACCACATATATCTATGGATTATCTTACACTAACGTTCGTGTACAGGAAAGAATGTAAATTGGTATTTGTATGTTAGTTCCCATTGCTAGCATTAACAATGTTAATTCCACCGCCACGTGCCCTCTCCCTCTCCTGTAAACCCATATGAATTGACTAAAAATTAACCACAATGGGTCAAAGTGACCTGACTTCATTTTCATCATTTTACCACCTACTGGTAACCCGACTTCGTATTCTATTATCATATGCAGAATTCCATCTTCATCTATTAAAAAAAATATATAGACCACGTGAGATGTGATTAGTCAAAAGTTTACAAAGCGAATATCACAGAATTGCAAATAAACTAAGTGTTTATCTGCTTGGGTACCTGTGTTTCATTGTTTACCTTGTTTCTACCGTGAAGCAGTTGTATTTGAATGGCTGTGTTTCGGCTTGAAAGGAGGGACATGGCAGTGAATTTACGGTGTACTGAAGTGTAACACCTTAGTCCTCAGGAATGGCAATAGATGGGGGCTATCATGGGCGAAACAGTATGCTCTGTTATGTCTGTGGTACTGTTCATGTTTATAGGTGACGATTACCACTTTTCATCAGGTGGGCCGTTAGATTGTTTGCATTTGCATTCTAAGTTGCATAAAAAAATATTATATTTATAAAGTAGTTTTATACTACTTTATTAATGATGTTGTTTATCAAGTGTTACTTATCTATTAGGCCTAATACTGAACGCCTCCACATACTATCAGTAGAGCTATAAAGGCCAGTTGAGGCAGATAGTCCTACACATCAAGGACATTAGAAAACTAGCAACCATTTATGATATGACATTTAAAACTCAAAACAGTAGCTATCAATGTTTGTTCAACTAATGTTTCAATTGGTCTACTTACACAGATGCTTCCAAATTTAAATGTGGGCGGTTGACAAATTGTTGTAAATGACAATGGAAAATTAATAACTCTTGCATTTGTAACAACTCTAATCGCAGAGATATAATACATAGTTACTTACTACTATAACAAGACTATTATAAATGCTACAGTTTGTCTGATACAGTGTTGCCAGATTGGATATTTTTTTTTTTGCAATTTTGGGTAAAAAATTATCTATTAGCAAAATTTTGGAGAAAATCAAAATAGTTTTGGAGAAAGTTAGGCAGTAGTTTTAATACTTGTAAACTCTCTACAAGTATATAAGATACATAAATACAATATTTAATAGTCGACGGACAGCAGTTCTTAAATAGCAGTTCTTAAAATATCACTAAAACTTCACTGCAGTTGTTAATACTCCTGCCGAGCGTGATAAATACTATCAAAATCTCCCAATTGGTAAAAAACCTATAAATAACGGCCCCGTTTCTTATGGCACGAGAACTGTTCAGCAATGAATAAATAATTATGACGATTATACATATTACATACTACAGGTATTGTAATACTTATTTTGAGGGGGAAGGGATTGTTGAATAAATAATGATGATGAATTCATCATGATGGGCTAACTATTCTCATCTATCACCCTTCACTGGTGCTCCGCCACTACAGGCGGGCGGGGCTATTGTAATCAAAAAAAAAATACTTATTTTGATGTAAACACGGGTTAAACAGGGATGGATGTATTATTTTGTTTATAACTGAGAGGTATGATAACCATCATTGCTTTAATAGGCATCAATTCCGTATATAAATAAACATAATTACCAAAATGTAAAATCAAATAATAAAAAATAAAAATAGATCGGTCGATGCGTAATATTTAATTGAATTGGTGGAACCTCGAGAATATGATTAATGACAGAGCTTATGTGTTTTCTGTTCCGGAAGATTAAAGTTATGAAAAAGATATTTTGTAAGAAACCTTAAGATATCCCTCCCCAAGGATGATCACACAAAAAGTCTTTCGTGCCCATAATCCGACGTCTCACCGAACAAGAGGCAAAGACGGATACAAGAGTTGAATTAAGTACCTTTTCCTTGTTTGTAATCGATTACAATTTAATTTATATTTTTTTACATAAATCATGTGAATACATTGCAGTAAATCAGTATAATACGAATACTTTGTTATAAGTTTTTTTCCATACATATACTTATTAATTTATTTTTTGTAGATGAAGATAATCTTTTTGCATCAACTTTTATTAAGTAATGATTTATAATAAAACAAGTGTATAAAAAGAATGGTTCTGATAACCTGATTGATCTATCAACACATAGCTTAAACTGCTGAGGTTAAAAATTTTTTTTATTGATTCCTTTTATGATGCGAAAACATTTGCCATGAAAAGGACATGCATACATCTAGTAACAGCTAGTACAGTAAAATATTTTTTGTTATTATATGTACATATATATTTCAGTTTATTTATTTATTACAATCAAAACAATCAACATATTTATCAATTGTTTTTATCAATTTATTTAACCATTATTTTAGTAGGAAATCTCAATTTGCAGCCTAAAACTTAATCTGTAAAACTAGAAAATTTAAAGCTTTTTCAATAAACATCCAGAAGGAATCTGTAATGGTTGACTGGTAGAGAATGCTATCAGGCATTAAGTCCGCCCTATAGACAATTTTATTTGTACAAAAGTATAAACAAATAACAATAAAAAAACGTATTAACCAAAGGGTTAAAGCACTATATATTGAGCCATAAATAAAAAACACCTTGTCACCTTGTGAATTTATAGCTACCTACATACTTATTAAGAACGGATATATTCTCACAATGCAAGGTGCACATGAATGCCAAATCTTACATCTCGACATATCCTTAAACCGGCTCAGCCCTTAATTATACGAGCTTCCGTACATTCACAAATGGCACAATCAGCGCGAAAGACTTCTATTGTTTTCGTAATGGACATTCGTTAACAATGTAGGAAAGGAAGGGCTCCAATTGGTACTCTCTATATGTCGACACTATCAGTGAATTGATCATGTACGGAGTGAACTAGGTGTGCTGTCACGTTACGAGTATCTTGTTGTGTTATATTTAATTGTTTTGTCGATATTATCTACTACCGGCTATTTTGTCGGTTATAAGTATGTAATCATACATACAACATATATAGTCATATAAATTCTACATCTACTATCTATCTATTCAACTCACATCAACCCAGCCGTAGGCCTTCTTTGTTCTGCTATTACTCTGCGAATTTTTCAAACTAATTTATACTCGTAGAATAGGCGTTTAAAATGAACCAACAATAAATTTTAAATTATATAATGAAAGCAACACATACCTAGAATAGATATAGTTATATCTATTCCACAAATAATTATCAAAATCGATTTAAAATAAGCAATGTTATATCGTATATAAACAATCAGGCGAATTGAATTAAAACTTTTTTTCGAATGAACTTAAAAATCAAATGAATGTTGGTCACAATCATAATTTTAAATTAAGTAGTAGGTAACAACAAATATAACTATTGTAAAAAGTCGCCAGTTATAAATACAATATTATTTAAAATTTATTACCAATTGCAATAAATATAGGGAACAAAGTCTTTTTTATTACAAATTCGATATTGACATAATAAAAGCTAGTTAAGGAAGCGCCTATTTAATTCATATTCTTACTCGCTTTTACCCGTGACTTCGTCCGCGTGATGGTGATATATTTACTAACCAGAATATGAATTAGTCTATGTCCTTCCCCGTCTCATATATAGTTACGTATATACCAAATTTCATAGTGATTGATTAAACCATTAAGGTGCTATAAAGTAACAAACAAACTCAGTTTTACATTTATAATATTATCAGTAAGGATTATTTAAATAAACTTAATATAAATTTAAAAAGTGTTCTTTAAACAGCTCTAAATACTTATATAATTAGTTTTAAGAATAAGATAAATAATTAACTCTTTATTAGAATAAGTAAAAAAATAATATAATAAACCACCAGACATACAAATTAATGTTAAATATCGAAGACAACTATTTTAAAATGTTGTTTTCATCACTACAAATGGGTAGATCATACAAAAACAATTCAATTCTTCCCTTGAAGAAGAGAGAACCAGATAAAAATGACGTCGAGATAATAGTGTTTACTTCTTTCTTGCACCGCCTTCTTCTTTTTCGCACAGTCATTTTTATCTGTCTTCTCCTTTCTTCGCAGACTTGCACGAACTGGCGCGGCAGAACAAGATCACAAAACAAATACTGGAAGCCTTCATCCAGAAGAAATTGGGACTGTCAAAGGGTTACGTTAAACCGCCGTCGATCCAGGAGATCCTGCCGATAAAGAAACCAGAAGAGAGGAAGTACCCAAGACAATCAAACCACAGTGAACATTATCAAGAACCGCAGGAATACCCTGAAGACGACAGCTTGCAGTTTGTTGAGAGCGAACAAATCAATTCAATATACTCCGAAGGCATGTATAATTTATTTATCCACAAGTCGTTTTTTCTATATTTAAAATACTTTTTTTGAAGTGACAATAGAAGATAGGCTCTAAAGAAGTTGAATCCAGAGCCGAAATTTATTTAAAAAAAATTAACACATTCCAAGTATCACAGATATTATTCTTAATGTATAGTTATAGTAGGCACATCAGGGCCGCATCAATTTGATGAAGATTTTACATTATAAAGTAGGTCTTTTATGACATCACTATCGATATTATGGACAGAATTATATTATAAATTGTTGTACAACACTATGAATATTCATTTATTGATTTGATGCTTCTAGATGGTTGCATAAATTCACTTTCCTGTTTCGTCGATATAAGGGCAGAGCTGAATCTTAAATAACATAATGGTTCTCAGTGAGCGAAACAATCATTAGAATAAATTCATCTTAATTAGGTGTTACACGATGGAATACACTATCCTTATGCTTCTAAGATTCTAACATACTATAAGTATTTGCATTCGTCTGTTCTGTTAATTTTAATGATAAATATTTACACCAATCTATATAGTATCAATACAAATAAAAACTATAATCTTAATATTATAAATGCGAAAGAGAGTTTGTTACCTTATAGCGCCTTTATGGCTTATTACAATCACTATGAAATTTCGTACACACGTATTATGTGGGATGGAAAACGACATAGGCTGCTATTTATCCCGGCCCTTAAACGCATCCTGGTCACATGATTGAAGTGAAATCTACATACATATATCTATATTAATGTTTTTGTTAAGTGACTTACAATTTAATTCTTGGAGCAGGACGAAAAATATTGTTCTTAATGGTATAAGTATAGTATTATATTATCTGTGGTAATGGGGACTGACGATCCGATTACATACAATCTATACTATCAGATTAACCTTCACATGGCTCTCTTTAGAAGCCATCATAGTTTATTCTTCATGAATTTATCGTAATGGATCAATTGACCGGTTTTCATCTGCTCTTAACATATTTCGCCAGTGTTCCGCCACCATATAGAAATAGCTCAAGTAGAGTTATTATTCCATTAAAAAAACTCTTAAACTATTAAATTCATCTGAATTATTACATTTTTTATTTATTCTTTATTGACCATATTACAAAAAAATTTTTGTACAAAAGGCCGAATTTTTCATCAATGAGCAACACAGTATACTCTATTACGTCTATGGCACTATTCATGTCTGTAGGCGACAGTTACCACTTTTCGTCAGCTTGTTTACTATTCTAAATTGCATAAAAAAAGTGGTTGAATATTTTGAACATTTTCTACGGGATATTACGTAAATTCTCAAACAAAATTCTTTGAAACGTATTGTACGCTCATCTTTGGTGTCGAATATTCAAAATTTAACCTATTGCCATATTGCGATTATAATAACTATCATTATTTGTTAATGTAATTTTTATATTTAGACATTTAGCAAAACAGTACGTTGTGCATAATATGCACCTATATTATGTGCAATATACATAATTTACCTTACGTACGAATAGTAGGTCGACAATTTCATAAAGAAAATATCATAGAGGGCAAATATTTGTGGTCAAATATAAAACGCGAGTGAGAATATTGTTAGGTCAAACGTATGGTGACATATTGGGTAATCTGGCAAACAGAGTTAACCAACATCGACAGAGTTTCCTCAGAGATGAAATTTATTTGCTTCCTTCGCTAAATAATTAAGTTTGCGTTATGCAAAAATAAGTACAACAAATGCTAATGTAATCGTTGCGGTTAACGAGCAAACATATTGCAGTAAAACCGCAATTTCGTTCTAACGTTTGATCTCAAAGGAGGATATCAAGCATTGCAAACTTGGGTAGTGCTTAAATACAATGTAAGACCAGAAGTACCTTTCCGAGAGTTTGACCTAATTGCTTACGAATTTGTAATTGGGTTAAATTCTTATGTTGTTCTTATTGAATTTTAATTAGTTAGATAAAATTAACACAAACAATTCTCGAGTTTCATTCCTATCGGAGATTGAATAGAATCAGGTCAAATTTTAATATAAATAGATATTATAATTATACGAAGTGTTCAAAATAAATATTCATTGTTAATCAGTCATTACATTTATTTATAAATAGAAAATTTGTAAAAATATAAACTAAATAAAAAATATTAAGTCAACAGACTAGATTTAATTTTTGAATTATATAATAAAATTAAAACATTAAAATAGAACCAGCATATATTTTATAAACACAAAATTTTGTAAGATTATTTTATCAATAGCGACGTGGCGCAATAGTACCTAAGGATTGCTTTGCGTAAATGATAACTCAGGTTTGATTCTCGATCAGGCACTTTAAGAAATTGATTTTTAGGCAACACAGCAGCTAAACCAAGATAAAATAAATTTAAAATTAGAAAAAGGTAAAATAACTACGTAATAAAAGCACCTATAACAAATATACAAAGTTCGTTATACTCTTAAAGGATGATGAGGACGTACTCAATGTTAATTTTATTTTGATTAATACATATTATGTTTTGTCGGTATCATGCAGTGCTAATAGGTGTTGTCCGGTATCCTGTTGCTTGTTTCTTTGTTTGGCATTCTATATTTCGCCTTGAAAAGTTCAGCTGCGTTTATATTCTAATTTGCATAAATACCTTAAATTACAAACAATACACTTCATATTCTTTAGTACCACCTCACCTTTTCTTACCCTTTCAACATATTAAGTACGTCTTGTAAATTATTCCGTTATGTCATAAGAGTATAAAATAAGAAACAAATTTTATAAGCCAATCATAATATTTACGAAAGTAAGTATTATTTTGACAATGTTAAAATGTGAAAACAAATTCGATAAACAAATATTCTTGATAAAACATAACATAATATACTATTATACAAACTATACTAAGCAATAATATATTATACATGAACAGTATCTACTTAAATAAAATAAATATAAAACCTGCAAGTATGTCTTACAAAAGTTGCTCCAAGAGCAAAAGAAGAGGATTTGAATTAAGAAAATACCTCCTTTATTATTTCTAAATGTATATCTATAAATATTTTAAACTAGGTAAATACATAGAAATTAAATGTAATCAAAACTTGTGATTTAAATTTAATAATTTCTTTGTTCATATTTGTGGTTAAAAGAATTTCTTATAAACTTCATATTTAAAGTCTGAGCACGTTATAAGCATTACTACGTAAAAGTACTATCTGTATTCTGAGCTACAACTACCGATCAAAAAAAAATTGTTAATAATTATTGGGTGAGTCATGCCTGCATAAGTACATATAGGTAATTTTAAATTACGTGTAATATACGTGACAGTAAAAGCCCGTACATTATTAATCTTAAATTAACTAGTTATTCTTTGGAATTACCAATATAACTTGGTAAATGTAAAGACTTTGTAAAAAAGATCATTTGGGCTTTCATCGAACCAAACCTGCATTTAATATTATATCCATTACTACCCGAATTACGGTAAATCAAACATCAAAAACATAGTAAAAGTAAAAAAAATAGTCGTCATATTTAGATAATATTCTTAGTGGATGGCGTTCATACCGTTACTTGTAGGTAAGAAAGGTGGATTACATTAGGTTTGGTTTGGTAGAAGCTCAAAAATTTATATTTTTTTTATAAAATCTTTACATTTACTAACTCATGTTCCGGTAAATCCTAAGATTTACTAGCTAAACCTAAAATTTACCATTCCACGGGCTTTTACAGTAACATATACTCTGTTGGTTATTAAAAACATGAGTACAATCGAAAGCTTAAATGCCGATTATAATATTTGTAATCAAGATACCTTATGAGGTAATTCCTGTTTGCAAATCATTACGTCATCAGCAATGTCATTACTTATTTATATGGTTAATCGCAATAAGTAGTAATAAAAAACTGAAACCAGGTAGCAGTATTCATAAAAGTATAAGTAAAATTGAAAGTTTACCAACACAAAAGAAATACGAAGGGGACAGAAGTGCCCAAGTCGTTTGCTTAGGTACTTCTGTCCATTGTGCTTCTGCCTTGAAGCAGCTGTGTTAGTATGATTGTATTTTGGTTTAAAAGGTGGTATGTATCAGTAAAAATCAGGGTACAGAGGTATAACACCTCAATCCTCAGGAACAGCAACGCATGAAGAGTATCATGGGCAACACAGTATACTCTGTTATGTTCGTGCTACGTTTAATATCTAGACGATTCACGATTTCCTAGGAAAGCTTATAGCGTCAGCTTATTTGTCAATCTAAGTTGGATAAAAAATTAATAAATTTAATTGATAAAAAATTGGTAAATTACAAAATTTATTTATTTATTGAAATACCCCAAAATAATGCAAAAGGCGGACGTAATAACTTATGGCGTTACAAAATTTATATCTATATTTTTAATTTTAAAACTACCTTTTAAAAGAAAGAAAAGGTATAACATTGTTTAGTACATAAATCGAGAATCTGTAATTAGCTAATGTATGGTTGTAAATATGATATAAAATTAATTTTTATCTATATTTTAATTATTCTAGATATACATAAGCTGTTGATACCAAATATAACAATAAAATACAATAAAAAAATAATAAAAACTACTTAACATATACTAGTATCTAAACTGAACAAAATACTAATCTAAATTTAAAAATATTTATAACTCTAATAGTATTTAAATAATCCAAATAATAACATTTAATAATCATACTAGTTTATACTGAATTCGTATTACATTTTTAGCGGAGCGTTTAGACGTGGGCTATATACACGACACGGTCGCAGACAAATTGCACCTGTATTGCAATATTATCAACTCCTTGAAAAATATTACTTTCTGTCGCTTCCAAAAGACTGGCTCATCATCCGGCTATAACATTGAGGATGGTTACAGTGACGGCAGTCATAGGTATGTAATAAAAATATGTTAAAGTATAGCAAATTTTAAATCAATAGCATTAATAATTATTGAGATATGTAGTAGGCAGACATA